TATCGCAATCTCGTTCTCTCTTTTATGAACAAACTGAACATTTGTACCCGTATATGTTATTAAATTGATTTTGAAAACGTTGTTCAATGATTTAAAATCGCACGAAATTTTATGGAAGTTTTCTATTGTTTGCCCATACACCCATGTTGCATTGTATAATCTATCAGTCACGTCTTACCCGAAATAAGAGTTGTGACATTAATGTTTTACTACATATCCTAATACAAATTCTTACCATTTATGTGAGAATTATTGGAATAAATGGTACGTGGAAGAGAGAGAATTATAATAAGGAGACAACATAAATTCATTGGGAATCACTTTTTGTTATTTCCAAACACTAGAACCATCTCCGACTATGGGAGCTTCGTAATTGTGCAAAGGCAGTTGTCTACGAGCTTGGGGGCAGGCAAGTGACTAATGCAGCATTTTGGATTGGTTCGTTCCATTCTTCAATAACACAAACAAAAAAAATTCCATCACTTATGCATTTTTATCTTGATTAAACAGTAAAAAAAGATAGATTTGGATGGGTATTTACTTGTAATTGAGGATAAAGTGATGAAGTAAAATTGTAATCTCAAGCTTGGTAAGTTCACTTCCAGGACAAAACCTAGTTCCGATTCCAAAAGGGATGAATGTTCCTGGCTTTGGTGAATGATTCTGCTTATGAACACCACACATATTAATATCTTTATGATAAACATGTTAATGAATTGATTGAGATCATGAATCATACCTCCCATCTTGAAGGATCAAACTCTTCTGGATTTGAATATAATTGAGGGTCCATATGAACAGCTCTTGTCCAAATTAATACGCTCCATCCCTTTGGTATGATGTAGTCTAAAACAAAAATGAAAAGATCAACAAAGAAATTATGAAGGTCATGTGATTATATATCACACAATAATAGAACAACTCACCATTGATGTTTATATCTGTTTTTGCTTTGCGGAAACTTGCGACGACGATGGTATTTCTTCTCAATAGCTCGTTAATAAACTGAAACAATAAAAATAAATCAAACTGAAACTTGGATAGAATGTGACACTCAAATAAGATAAGGATACATGAATGAACTAATACTATATTTGAATGAGAGTGATTATGAGGATAGAATGACTAAGAAAAACTTAAAAGAATTTAAAGTAAATACCCATACTAACAAAGTCCTCTTTCATTTTGGGTGACTTAATCATAGGAAATTCAAAGTTAAACGTGAATTACTTGAAGTAATTATATGTTGGGTGGTCTCTCGTGAATTTTTTAAAATTCATATGAGTGAGAATAAAACATGGCGAAAGGACCTGTGTTGGTCTGTTGGGATAGCTTTCACTCTTAGAAGCAAGAAGTAATATGACCATGTTGCAGGAGATGCAGGGAAACGTCAAGGCACACAAGTATCGAAATAGGATTCCAAATTTTGGGTATGGAGCATTACATGGAACGAGATGGATGACTTTAAGTTCTTGTTAAACTGTGTTCATTAACCTGATCTATGTACTTGGTAGAATAATTTTTTAGTAGGAGGTAACACTCGTAAGCCCTAGATTTAGAATCCAGATTCGGCACAAAGCCTTTTGCATTTTGGTGCAACCTAGTCACAATACCTTAGTTGTCTTGAACGATTTACGAAAGTAAAAATGTCCTTTAAAACTAACTTAAGTTCTTTTAGCATGTTTTGTTTTCACTCGCTTGATTTCTAAGAAAATTTATAAAAGAAAACGATATACCTTCATAAGATATTTCATTTGCTTGATTTCTTGAAAAGTTAATCCCTTTTGAGTGGATGGTCTTTGCTTTAAAATTGACTCTTGCTCTTCCTGTAAAACGTAACTCAAAACTCAAAACGATTATAAACGGAATTAGAAGTGGTTTTTGAAAGAATGAGCAAACCTTGGCCTTGTGAAAGATATGAGGTTTCTCAGAGATGTGCACAAGAGCCCACATAGCAGCATAAGCTGGGGTATGATGGCCTGCATGTAGCAGTCCAAGAAGCAAGTCTATAATGGTATTGTTATCATATAATTTCATCCCATTCTCATCCCTTGCCATAATCAATTTGTCCATTTGGCTATGCACTTCTCTTGTTTCCTTCTGTTCTAGGGCTCTTCTTTTCTCCTCTATCACACATTCTAGAACATTTTCAATCTTTTTTCTTGCCTGCCAATTGGTTGTGTACAAAATAATGTTTAATATCTTCCAATCACATCCATTAGCAATATTAAATCAATAATGCACCAGGAAAAAGAATAAGTATTCAAGATGAACTAATAGTTCGGACGGAAGTAGAAATAAGATCGATCGCATTCACACACCCACAAACAAAAATTAAATGAAGAAACACAAAAATTTACGTAGTTTAGAGAGAAGAAATTTTCCTAAATACACGGGTAACAACCCATCTCAATAATCAAAGTATTTACGAAATATATATTTCATACTCACACTACAAAGTCTCTTGAAAAAATTATTCCGAAAGGTCACCATTCTAGACAACCGTTTATATAGGCATAGAAACATTAATGTCACACTCAAAGACGAACCAAAAGGGTTATAAACCAAATAAACAAGAGATAATCAAATAAATGAGAAAATGAATCAAAAGGGTTAATGAATCAAATAAAAAATGGATCAAATAAATGCATGAACCAATGAACTCTTACAACACTAATAATAGTACCTTAAGTGCCCGATGATAAACGAGTCCAGGCACGTCATAAGGAAGAATGGACAAGATTGCAGGACCCAAATCTTTATATAATGTCTCAAGCTCAGCCATGCGAGATGCTCCAATGTCAGTCCCCAAGAAAATACGTGAAATTACTTTAAAAAAGAGGCTTCCAATCTCACCCAACAACTCAATGGGCTCTTTCATGCTGCTCCATTCCTCCAAGCCTTTTGCCATTACTTGATCAATGAAGTCCACATAATGAGACAATACCTCATAGCCATTCATAGGAGCTGCCATGATTCTATATGCAGACTTGTGATCAGCCCTTGTGAAAAAACCATTTACTTCTAATATCTTCACCGACTTTGGATAATTTGGTTTGAAGATTTCATCATCTAAGTATATGCGTCGACATATCTCTGGATCTGTTACGATAATTGTTGGTCTTCCATAGAGATGGCTTTTATACATCCCCACTCTTCCATTCCTGTGCAAGAATGCCCACAATTATTATTCCCCAACTTTAGAGGAAAGGATTACATGACATAAATTATTGTTTTCAATTTTTTTCCTTCCAATTTTCCAAGCAAAGCATATCACATGGTCAATGGTCAGTAATCTTGTATAATTGTAAGATCATACATCGGTTGGAGAAGGGAACCAAGCTTTTTTTTACAAGGGTGTAAAAATCTTTCCTTAGCAAACGCGTTTTAAAAATCGAGGCTGAAGGTGATACGTAATGGGCCAAAGCGGATAATATCTGCTAACAGTGGGCTTGGGTTATTACATATGGTATTAGAGCTAGATACCAGGCGGTGTGCTAACGAGGACGCTGGATCCCCAAGGGAGAGAATGTGAAATCCCACATGGGTTGGAGAGGGGAAGGATGTTAGGTTCTCAAGGGAGGGATTGTAAGATCCCAGATCAGTTGGAGAGGGGAAGGACGGTGGGTCTTCAAGGGAGGGATTGTAAGATCCCACATCAATTTGAGAGTGGGGAAGGATGCTAGGTCTCCCAGGAAGATGGATTGTGAGAGATCATATCATTAGGTGAGGGGAACAAAACATTCTTTATAAAAATTGGAGAGGGGAAGGATGATGGGTCCCCAAGGAGGTTCCCAGAGAGGGATTGTGAGATCCCACATTGGTTGGAGAGGGAAAGGATGCAAGGTTGCCAAGGAGGGTGTTTTGTGAGATCTCATATCGATCGGAGATGGGAAAGAAGCATTCTTTATATGGGTTGGAGAGGGGAAGGACACTAGGTCCCCACAGAGAGTGTTTTGTGAGATCCCATATTGGTTGGAGAGGGAAAAGAAGCATTTTTTATAAAGGTTGGAGAGGAGAATGGCGTTGGGTCCCCAGGGAGAGTGGATTGTGAAATCTCATATCGGTTGGAGAGTGGAACGAAGCATTAAGAGTGTGGAAACCTCTCCTTACTTAATAGGCAAACACAATATCTACCATCAATGGCTTTAGATTATTATAATAATACTCGATTTCATCAAACATATTAAAAATTCTTAATTAGGTGTTGGTAAGATTGGTTAAATTATTATTTATAAACACTTTTAGTATAATTGACATACCACTTGAGAAACAATTTATTTTCTTTTTATCATTTCGGCTGCGTCATGCCTCGAGAGCATGAAGGTAATGCACATACATTTTTTATTTATCCATATAATAAAAAGAGTCCAAAGTCAAATGTCATATTTTAGGTTCGATAAGGGATGATAGTCATAATCATATATCATATATGTATATATTTGAATTTTCCGACCCATCAACCTTTTCCAAAACTTAATTTTTTTTTCTAGGTAAGGACAAGGACGTTTTTGGTAGCCAATTGTGCTTGGACTTTCAAAAATCTAGTTAAATTAGTTTTGAGAAGTCTTTCATGATATGCATACAATAACAGTACACATGACCCGATAAAGAGAGATGAAGAGATATACCTGGAAAGAAGGTGATAAATAAAAGAGTCGGGATCACCTCCGACCGTAAATGCATTGTAAAAGGAGAAGGAAGAGCCAAGAAGAGGCCATCCCATATCACCAGGAGGAAGAGATTTGTAAGCCTTTCTTCCCAACTTAACCAAATACCATATTTCATTGAGTTTCCTCACAAACATATAAACCCCTAAAACAGCTCCAATAATAGTACAAACGTTGATCATTTCCATTGTCTATAGCTTTGTGCTATGAATATATCTCCAAAGCCACACTAGCGAGTCTTTTATAGTGCCAACTTATGCCACCAACTCATTCATTATAGTATGAATAGTGCTTAAATTATTAATAACCTCATTATCTAGGAGTGGGTACGGGTTGATACCTTAATGTGACTTATTTAACATTTATTAAAATTTATGAAAAAGACAAAACGAACCAAATAAAATACATATAAGAAAACATAAATATTTTGCATAATTTTAAACCAAACAGCTCCACAATTAAAAGACAAAACGGCATCAATTACAAACGGGTGTTATTCAAAGTTATTTGCCAATGGGGAAGAGGATTCAGGATACAAATTAAAACAATTACAAAGATTACAAAATTTATAAAAATTGACATCCTCCACGGCGCGACCTAATTTCTAGGCTTCTGTAATGTCCCATGTCCATTCCCTGCGAAATGATTACGTTACCTACTCTTCACTTCTTAATAGTGACATATAAGTGTTTATTAATCATTTTATCGGTAAGATCGCTCTCATTCAGATATAGTCTTGGTTCATTCATGTATCCCTTCTTTACTCGAGTGTCACATGCCTACTAGCTTCCACTTTCGTTCGTCCCCAAACCATATCTTACTAGGAGAAGTACTGATTGATCATTTATAAACGTCCAATACCCAGAATTCATACTAGGATTTGACCTTTCTAAATGAAAAATTAAATTAAAATTCTAAAAAATAAAGAAAGTCGATATACCTTTCAATTTTATAATAAAAATACTTGAGATTTCCATTGGGATGTTTTAAGATAATATAAATTTCCCTTATCTCAAACTTTTTAAAATACTAACTAAACTAAATAGTTTCTCAAGTCTATCCAAATTCTTCCTTTGACTTCCATTTCTCTCAATCTTATATCCAGCCGAATTCAATGTTCAAAAAGGTTGTGATAAGAAATTGATCATTAATAAAGTGAGAGAGGATACTAGTTATCAAGTTAGAAAGCCGTATGGCTCATAAATAGGTTCTAACACTCGAGAAAGTATTATTTAATAATGAAAAAACTTAGAATGTGAATAATGTGAATGATTAGAACTATCGAGGTACATGGTTCAGTTGAGTTGAATTAGAAAATTTTTTTGGACCAACTCAAAATGTTAGGTAATGATGGATTGGTTAGAGTTGTAACGACCTTAGATTTCTAATTACCGAGAGTTGCTACCGTCATCAGAACGTGATCATTTTATGCGGAAATAAGCGTTTAAATTTTATCATAAAACATAAATTTCATCTTAAATCACTGTCATTGACTTACGTATTAGAAAACGTCTTCAAAACGACACAATAAAATACTAAATGAAATAAATAAGTGTTAAAATTTAAAACACTCTCTTCTGACTTAAATCTAAGAAAATAAGTACAACTATCTATGCATGTGTCATGGTCTGACTTGCAATGTCGTCATCAGATATACAGGAATGTCTTCTCTTTGTGTGAAATAGAAGTAGCAAGTGGCTTGAATATTTTAAGAAATACTGAGGACCCCACTATTGGGGTTAGATAGAAATACACAATCATAAGTGAGACCTATCATATCAGTCTATATTCCTTAGGTGACTATCCTAAACGGGCTAATTGGATGTGTATTGACTGTTCTACACATGGTCTACACGTGTGAGTATGGACCCGTCAGTTGATTTGCACAACTCCTAGGCCCCCTTCTTATCGGGCTACCATTCTTTGGTAGCTATGATGTCGGACACCCGTTTAGGAATAACGACCGTCGCAGCATTAGGATAAATATAAGGATCGTTTTCCTACCTCGTAACGTACGAGTCTATACCATCGTAAAAAAGGGTATTCTCCAATGCATATACACACAATGATGTATGAGGTCCCAACCTTTTTCCTTTTTCATTATGACAACCCTTCTAGCGTTTTCCTTCATCATAACTTTTCATGTAATTTCAGGGTTGTATATCATGTCTTATTGCATGCTATCTTATCATGTTATGTGTATCATATCATAAACATTCTTGTCTCCCAACATATCATGTCATACCATATACATATCATATCATAAAACATATCACAATATGTATCATATCATACCATAACATATATCACATCATTCACATAACATATCATTTCGTCAAACGCATCGTACTATAACATCCATTTGCATATTATATCTCAAACATATCGTCAAATGCATCATACCATAACATATATCATATCATTCACATAATATACCATAGTCATGTCGTTCGTAAACATATCATAGTCATTTCATTTCATAAACATATCCTGATCATATCGTTTCGTAAACACTTTACATATATCAAACATATAACACGTGCAGAATTACGGGACACGTGTCATCATACAAACATCAACTTCTAACCAAACCGATAGCAAGGTCATTTACCTGATTAACTTAGATTGGTATCACCAATTTATCCTTAATAAATGTTCGATATTTTCCTTTGTATCAAAGTCAACCTATATGAACCCATGACATCAATTTCAAGTTCAATTCTCTAAATTTTACGATGGTTAATGTGTTAGATTTCATGCGAGCATTAGAGACTTTGCACGAGTAGAATCTTGATATATAAATATATATATATATATATATATATATATAATCTTTGTAATGCTCTTAAAAGTAGGTTAGGTTGTAACTCTATTTTCAAATTGGTCAAACCCATAAATCAACCCAAATTTTCGATTTTTCAAAAATTCAACTCAACCCAAATTGAAAAAAAAAATTATAATTTGGATTGGACAGTCCATATTAGTCATGTTATTGAGTCATATGAAGACACCTAATTAGAACCTAAATAATTGAAATATCCTTTTATTTTTTATATTTGATTCCTTATGCTTTCCTTCTTTAGAATGTAACTAAAGAATGGCTTCTTTGCCATTTTGGGCATTATTGAACAAACAATTGACTAAAATTGTTTAGGCAATAATGAAGCAATCAAGCTGGTGTTATTTATGGTACTAAAGGGATAGGATAAGATAAGATTTGATGTCACAAACTAAGCACAAGAAATAAAAATACAAATAATAAATAATAAATAATGGTTAGATCTTGGACAATATTGTAAAACACAAAATTGCTGATATATTTAGTATTTCTTTTAACAAGTTGAACACAAATATGATTTTATTAATTTTGATTTTAAAAACCTTATTTTAATGGAACCAGCTGTTATTGGTATTATTAATAATTTATAGAATCGTAGGAAAGCCTTTACCCTTTATTTCTATTTATATATATATAATAAAGGTAAAGGTCTCTTGTACCCGAGTTAAGTTGGAGAAATTTTTTGGACCAATCTCAAATTTTGGGTTAATTGGGTTGACGATCATAGTAACTTGAATAGAGTTTACGATTGAACCCAACCAAACCTTCTATTGTCGGGTAGGATTGGGTTGTGTTGTAGTCTTATTTTTTTTGTTTAATTATTTAAAAAATCATAATACATATTAAATTAATATGTATCAGAGTCAACCACCAGACGATGTGTCAACTTTCTCGTTCTTTCCCAAAGGGGGTAGACACGAGGCGGTGTGCCAGTAAGGACGTTGGATCCCGAAGGAGGGTAAATTTTGGGGCAGTCTCACATCAATTAGAGAAAGGAAAGAGTGCTAGCGAGTATGCTGGGCCCCAAAGCGGGGTGGATTGTGATGTCCCACATTGGATGGGAAGGAGAACAAAACATTATTTATAAGGGCGTGGAAACCTTCCCCCAGCAAATGTGTTTTAAAGCCTTGAGGGGAAGCCCGAAAGGGAAAGCTCAAAAAGAACAATATCTGCTAGCGGTGGATTTGGGTCGTTTCAAATTATTTAAAAAATCATAATACATGTATAAAACTCAAATATTAAACATTCAAATATATTTAATTTTCATAATAATCCTAAAAGTAGGTTGGGTTGGGTTCTAACCCTATTTTCGAGTTGGTTAGATTGACTCGACCAAAAACAGATTAACTCACGAAACTAACTTGAATTTTTGGTTTTTGACCAAAAAATCAACCTAACTTAAACTTTAAAAAAAATATATATATATATATTTTTTTACCGTTTGAGTTTGGTAGTCCGAGTTGGTCGAAACATCGCGTTTGCCCCTAATTTATGAAATATAAAACTATATGAAATTAAAGCACTTATTGAGCCGATTTGATGATTATTGGTTGTCTTCATTATAAAAGTTTGATGAAAATAATGAAACATATTATATGCATATTATCAATTATATTCCCTAAATTAAAGGCAATAATTACAGCAAATAAAGCAATCATGATCCGACAAAAAAATAAAAAATTAAAAAAAAAAAACTCCAATATATTTATAGATTGCTAAATTTACGCTTGTATTACCATATTTAACTTGATTAATGAAAACCTTACACTTTCATATTAATAAAATTTAGATTCTGAATTTGTATAGAACTTTATAGGTTTGACTTAAAATTTATACACGAACATATAAACAAATCAAACAAAATTTAATAAATAAAAATATTTACGAAAGTATATGAACCTACCCATATACAAAAAATAATGAGGTGATTTCTTATTTGATTTATGTTCCAAAGCTCGTTATATTTAGTATATGGGTAGGTTCAGATTATGTCCTACTCAATATAAAATCTAAATTTATTATTATAATCTTGAACCGTATGTAGTTAACATTACAAGGAATTGTAACGATTCGACTTTCTAACATCATAGATTGATCAAAGCTTGTTACTATATATATGCATACATCATTAGCGAACAAATGAAAATATGCACATCGCAAACCAGTATCGTGCTTGACATATTAGGTCAAATATCTTAGTAAAATTTAGGGTTCAAGAAGAAGATACTCAATAGAAATTCGAACTTACCTACCTTTTGAATCATAATGTTGTATTTACACGAGAGTAGATATATGGTTTTTGGTCTTCCTCTCACATCAAACTCGTAGAAGTTGAACTAATCATTGATTCTCCGAACCCTAGATTTGATTCTCGAGGGTCTGGTCCATAGATTTTGTTCGAGTAGCTCGAGTGCTAGTTAGCTCTGGACTTGATTAAAAATATCATAACATATACAAATAATAATAATAATTAAACGAGAAAGACAACAAGAACGTTGGAAG